AAAGAAGATCTCTACTAAAGTAGTGGAAAGACTCAAACCTCATTGCGACGCTTGACATCGATTCTGTTCTTAATCCGTTTGCTGAAACTTAATCCAAATCCGACAATGAGTGTAAGTTCATCGGCTCAAATCGATGTTCCCTATTCTTCTTTACATTCCGATTCTAACATTTATCGATCTCCCGATTTTTTATTGCACCCCGTTGATTCCAACCAGGCGAACCATAGTATTCTCTGCCCCGAAGCTCCAATTCAACGGACACAGTACGTTTTCTTTCTCTCTGTTTGCGTTCGTGGATACTTTTTGGTTAGACATTAAGTTTTATGTTCTAGACTTTGGGAGTTTTGGGGTTTTAATGACCTAAGATTTTCCGATTGGGAGTTGAGCGGTGAATGAATGGCGAAGTCTTGGTTTTGGAATCAGCTTAGCATTTGAACTCGTGGTTGTTTGTTTATAACTTCTGTTGTTGAATAGGTATCCCTATGTGACTGGGACATCCGTGGTTGCCATCAAATACAAAGATGGGATTTTAATGGTTTCCGATTTGGGAGGTCAGTGGAAAATCTTACCCATTCTTTTTCTTCAATATCCAATTAATTGTCTATTATATTGTATCTATGTCTTTCTACAATGTTTCAAAAGAAAGTTGTTGATGATTGTCAGCTTGTTTATCACTTTTTACTTGTTGATAGCAAAACACTTCTGGAAGTGATGTTTCTTTCTTTAAGTGATTCTGAATCTCGGATGTATGCGTTGGCAAATTATAATGGAATTGTGTTTGTATATGATATTTTAACTACAGGCTCCTATGGTTCCACATTGCGGTATAAGAGTGTGGAGCGAATCAAAGCTATTGGAAAACATTCTCTACTTGGTGCAAGTGGAGAAATTAGTGATTTTCAGGAGTTGTTGCGAAATCTCGATGAGCTCATGTAAGCCTAAGATGGTTTGCTTTACTCTCACGCTTCTTTATATATGTTCATTGGGAATGCATGGTGTTCTGGATTGGAAATCACAGAGGTTGAGCGAAATCTCTTAATTGTATTGTGAATGGTGCAGCTTGTATGACAACATGTGGGATGATGGTAATGCTCTCGGGCCCAAGGAGATCCATAGCTACTTGACTCGAGTGATGTATAACAGGCGGAACAAGTTCAACCCACTTTGGAACTCACTTGTTCTTGGTGGAGTAAAAAATGGGCAAAAGTATCTCGGCACGGTAGATCTTTTGTTCTCTTACCTCTCATTCAATTAATTTTAAGTTTAGATGCTTCATCAGCTAACAATTTACCATTTGCATGCAGGTTAATATGATAGGTGTAACTTTTGAAGATGACCATGTTACTACTGGTTTTGGCAACCACCTTGCACGGCCAATTCTTCGTGATGAGTGGCATGAGAACCTGACTTATGAAGAAGGTGTGAAATTGCTGGAGAAATGTATGAGGGTACTCTTATACCGTGATAGGTCGGCTGTCAACAAGCTCCAGGTTTGAATCATTTTAGAGCTACATTTATCACTTTCATTTTTATGTATATTTGTGAGTGTCCAGTCGGCTTCTATGCATATCCACTAGTCTCACTGGATAACCAATCAACATTTGGTTGTGAAACCCATAAGATTTCAATATCATAGGGAGTTTGCAACGATGGCATTTGAACCTATCCTTGTTCCTAATGATCACTTAACCAACCCAGTGGCATGCTTGGTTTTTTTTTTTTTTTTTTTTTTTTTTTTTTTTTTTTTTTTTTTTTTTTTTTTTTTTGCTGCTTCATGGGGTATTTGGCCTGAGGAATAATAGGTTTTTTAGAAGGGTGGAGAGATCATTGGAGGAGGTTTCCTTATGGGTGTCCATCCATCATGCTTTTTTTTTTTTTTAAATCATTGGCCTGGTTTGATTCTTTTGGATTGGAATCCGTTCTTGTAGTTAGTTCTTGAACTCCTTTTGTGGTCTCTTTTTGTGTACCTTTGTACGAAATTTTTTCAAATAGGAATGCCTTAAGAATGAAGCTCAGCAAGATTATGCGCATGCCCAAAAGCTCTAGCTTGGTTTCTCAAATATGTATTTATTAACCAACCCAGCCTAGCCCATGTTGATTCACTGATTATAGCTACATCCACCACGATCTCTCTAGTTTCTGGAACCTGTGTTTTGATCACTGGTTATAGTCTTCAATGGCTGGCGTTATTCTCTCATCATCTAATTTGGCATTTGCAGATAGCAAAAATAACTGAAGAAGGCGTGACAATCTCCCAACCTTACTCCTTAAAAACATTCTGGAACTACGCTGCTTTTGAGAATCCCACTTCTGGCGCTGAAGGATCATGGTAGATTGAAGCTACCTCGTTTATTTCAGGTTCCATTTTCGTGAATCGCTGTTCGGATCAAGAGTTGTGAAACAATTGACATATCAAAAGTTAGATGCGTCTTGGATACTTATTATTGGATTTGTATGAATGTCTACTTGGAACTATCTGTTTATATCCAACTCAGTGCATGTTGAGTTCATTTTCTTGACTTTTTTATAATCACAATCAGTTACTTTTTCATTATTAGTCTCTGCCTACTTTATTGCTTGACATGCTTTGATTTGGATGATGTAAAGTCGATCATTCGACCAAGATAGTTAGAATTAACAGATTTAGATATTAATGATTTATTACACAAACTTCAACGGGTAAACTGGGAGATCCTGCATCGGTTGGAAACATTCTTTATAAGGGTGTGGAAACCTCTTTCTAGCGTTTTAAAAACATGAGGGAAAGCCCTAAAATGAAAGTCCAAAGAGGACAATATCTACTAGCTGTAGGTTTGGATTGTTACAAATGATATCAGAGCCAAACACCGAACGGTGTGCCAACGAGAACCTTGAACCTCTAAGAGGGGTTGACACCAAACGGTGTGTTAGCAAAAACGCTGGGCCCTGAAGGGGGTGGATTGTGAGATCCCTCATCGATTGGAGAAAGGAACGAGTGCTAGCGTGGGCCCCGAAGAGAAGTAGATTGTGAGATCTCACATCGGTTGGAGAGGGAAACGAAACATGGGTGTGAAAACCTCATCCTAGTTAAAAACCTCGTAATGGAGACTATCTACCCTTGTAATGGAACATCTTAACTGACAGCGGTATTTTGAATTTGTTAGTATCCTCACCCTGCAAGAAAGAAACAAAGAACAAAGACACCCATGCATTCATCAGCCATACTATGCTTCACTGCTTCCTCATCATTCAAGTTGCCTTCACATTTGGAAATCAACCATTTACAAACTATCTGTATCAGCAAGTGATCTAAAGTTTCTGAAGCACAAAAACATTCCATGAACAGTCTCAAATTACCATAAAATCTAATAAAATGTTAGCGGGAAGATTAAGGTAAATGCACTCTTCTCCTTAACCTTTCTCCCCATTTTCTGAACTGCTAAATGAACAAAAAGCGAATTACATTGGAAGAGTTAGCCTGAAATTTCTAGTTTGCCCTAATAGATATTTGCATCTTAGTCTTTTGTACTTTGAACAAGAGAATGACACAAACCAAAATGTTACCTCCCATCTCTTTTCTTCTCATTCGATATTCAAATCATCGGTTTGCTTAGCAGAAGATATGATGCCGATACCAGAACCCCACTAAGAACGGGTGATGGCGCCATCTCCCCTGCGAAGTAAACCTTCCATTGGTTTTGTTGCAGACCTTTTTTGGCTACTAATTTGTATAGGGAAAAGCTTCCCATTCCATCCAGATTAGATCCAACTGCTTCTTGTAATGTTTGATGCATATTTATAGTTGAAATACATTATTGAAGGAAGAAAAGTCAGCTTAAAATTCATTGTTATTGTAAAATCTGTTTCTATTTTTATGGTTGGAGATTTGACATCACTTTAAATGCCAGCTGCTTGGTTATGATAACAATTGCATTATCATGTCCGAGGCCCGTCCTCGTATGACAGCAAAAGGACAACTTCAAGACAACATTTTATTATCTTCTTAACTTTCACGTTTGAATTGTACATTTGTTGTTGTTGGTGTTTATGTTTTCTTGTTCTTTAGTGGTAAAAAAAAGTTAAACAAAACTGTATCTATTTTCAAGTCTTTGCTTTGTTTTGTTTTCTGTTTTTGTTTTTGTTTTGATTGAAAAGATATTTTTCTCTTGTTTAGTCATTTTCTACCTCGAAAACTGGAGAGTTTGTAGCATTTTTTAATAGGGTTCATTTTTGGTAATTATGTTACATTCTAAATTATTATTAATGGTATAGACCATGTGATTTAATAGAAAATATAAATTAATGTATCGAATAGAAAAAAAAAAGTACTATTCTCGAAAATCCTCAAAAAAAAAAAAAAAAAAACTATGATATTGCAATGTNCAATTAGTTGAGTTATAATGAAACGAACACCCTCAAATGAGAAGTATATAAATGAATCGATATCATATCTTTGATTTTGAAGATAGAATAGTTAAAAAAACACTCAAAAGAATAAATAGTTAATATCTAATTAGTGGCTCAATCACAAAAACTTAAAAAAGAAAATATTATGATTTTTTTTTTTTTTTTTTATAGAAATAGGAAAATGATAACAAAACAGGCTAAAATTACTCTTCTAATAAAAATAATTTTTTTAATATAAAGTAAAAAAAAAAAAAAAAAAGTAATATTGGAACTAATGAGACATAAATTGGTTTCTCTTGTTTTATTTAAAAAAGAAATTGGGTGCACGAAGATCGGTGCTGCTTCAATAAATACCACGTCATCGGCCATTTAATTACAGCGACAGGCGGTTGGTTTTGGCGAAACATTCAGCATTAAATGTCCTTTTTTTTAACTCTTTCTTTGTTTTAATAGATTAATAATAGCTAAATTTGTTTTTAAAAATTTAATTTATGTAAGTGATTAAATAATTAAATGTTAATTAGTATATATATAATTTATTATATTTATTAAAAAATGATTATTAATTGGAAATGAAGCTTTGGTTTGTATTCTTTTCAGACTGCTGAGGGGGGAAGTCTGAAAAAGCCCAAAAGACCGTAAAGAAAGAAAATAAAAACCCATTCCTCAGTTTGGAGTTCTTTCTAATCTCTTCTTTTCCCCCTCCCCCCCGAGAATTACAGATCTTCTTCGTCTTCCTCTTCTCCGTCGTCGTCGTACTGTGGAGAGAAATGCCGTCCAAGCTCGTCTCTCCAGGTCTTCCTCTCTGTCTTTCCGGCTTCTCTCTCTCTCATCGTTCTCTCTCTACAGAGTATGTTTCTTTAACCTCTTTCTCTCTCTCTCTCTCTCTGTTTTTGTGTGAGTAAACTCTGTTTTCTTTCTGTGGTAGGATGGAAGATCATGATCGAAGGAGGGAAGCCATGAGAAGGCGAAGATCATCGAGTGCCGATGCAGGAGGGATCGGCTTCACCAGATACATCATTCAAGCTATTGGAGATGGAGATCTTCATGATTTGTGTGAAAAAACCAAATTAACTTCGGCTGCAAAAGCCGCTTAGATTACGAAAACACTGTCCATGATTCCACAATCTCAACTTTTTGGGTTGGTTTCGGATCTGTATTTTCATATTTTGTCAAAATCCTGATTTGGAGCTTCATGTATTGTTCTCCTTAGTTTCCAACTTTCCTGGATGGTTCAATGTAATCCTCTTCTAATTTTACTTTTCCATCTTTTTTGGAGTTGGTTTTGGCTCTAAATTGTCGAGATTTTCATAGGTTATGGTTCGAATCCTTCAAAAAATCAAGAACATGTTTGTCATCTAGTAACAAAGCAGAGTAAAATCATATAGGAAGACGGGGAAAGGAGAAAAGGACGTGAGAGGATAGGTCGGATATGACACTCTAAAATGTCTGTACTATATGAGACAACGTTTCACATGCCTTGAGTTTAAACAAGGTTACGTCCCCGTTGATATCAACATTAATTTGGTAATAAACCGAGATCTTCCAAGTAAAATCAAGACGCAAATTCACTGTAAAAATATGCAACCGATAATAGCTATAATGATAATAGTATGCAGGGGTATGTCGAAAATGGTTTGGACGAACCAAACCATGTCGAACTCGGGCAGAACGGACAAGGAAAGTAGAGGACCAAACACGACACAAAAAGAGACACTATAACAGGACAGCTGCGCCACCGTCTATCAAGCACCCAACTCTGAGATTGGGTACCTGATAACCAATGCCAACAACGATGATCACCATACAAAACAGCACCAACAGAAACCGGGTCTTTATTATTCGGACATTTGAAAACCTCAGACGAGAAGGTCTGAGGTTTTATAAGCACGGTTCACTTGCCAGCCTTCTTGGCTGCGGATTTGGTAACCTTGGCACCACTTGGATCCTTCTTCTCGACCGACTTGATGACACCAACTGCAACCGTCTGTCTCATGTCCCTCACGGCAAATCGTCCAAGAGGAGGGTATGAAGAGAATGTTTCCACCACCATCGGCTTGGTGGGAACCATCTTGATCATACCAGCATCACCATTCTTCAAGAACTTGGGCTCCTTCTCAAGTTCCTTACCAGATCGCCTGTCAATCTTAGTTAGAATCTCAGAAAACTTCACGGCAATGTGAGAGGTGTGGCAATCAAGCACTGGGGCATAGCCATTGCCGATCTGTCCTGGGTGGTTCATGATGATGACCTGAGAAGTGAAGTTGGCAGCCTCCCTGGCAGGGTCATCCTTGGAATTGGAGGCAACGAAACCACGCTTAAGATCCTTGACAGCAACATTCTTCACGTTGAATCCAACATTGTCACCAGGAACGGCCTCTGGGAGAGCTTCATGGTGCATCTCAACAGACTTAACTTCAGTTGTCAATCCAGTAGGGCCAAAACAGACGACCATTCCTGGCTTGAGTACACCGGTCTCAACTCGTCCAACTGGGACAGTTCCAATACCACCAATCTTGTAAACGTCCTGAAGTGGAAGACGGAGTGGCTTGTCTGAAGGCCTCTTGGGCTCCTGGATCAAGTCAAGAGCCTCAAGGAGGGTTGGGCCCTTGTACCAATCGAGGTTGGTTGACCTCTCAATCATGTTGTCTCCTTCAAAACCAGAGATGGGGACGAATGGGATTTTATCAGGGTTGTAGCCCACCTTCTTGAGGTAGGAAGAAACTTCCTTGACAATTTCATCATATCTTGCCTTCGAGTACTTGGGAGTGGTGGCATCCATCTACAAAGGGTAAAAGCAAACTGAGTTTAAAACGAAACCAAAATACATTAACATGATCAAATTTAACCATATATGTGAAACAGTAACCTTACCTTGTTGCAGCAGCAGATCATCTGCTTAACACCAAGGGTAAACGCAAGCAAAGCATGCTCACGGGTTTGACCGTCCTTGGAAATACCCGCTTCAAAACCACCAGTGGTGGAGTCAATAATGAGAACAGCACAATCGGCCTGTGAGGTACCAGTAATCATGTTCTTAATGAAATCACGATGTCCAGGAGCATCAATAACAGTGCAGTAGTATTTGGTGGTCTCAAACTTCCACAAGGCAATATCGATGGTGATACCACGCTCACGCTCAGCCTTGAGCTTGTCCAAGACCCAGGCATACTTGAAGGACCTCTTGTTCATCTCAGCAGCCTCCTTCTCGAATCTTTCAATCACACGCTTGTCAATACCACCAAGCTTGTAGATCAAGTGTCCAGTGGTGGTGGACTTCCCGGAATCGACGTGGCCAATGACCACAATGTTAATGTGAACCTTCTCTTTCCCCATTTTAAAATTGTAAACTGAAAAAGTTGACAACGATAAACCAAACGATAAGCTTATCGAACAATATCCTTTATACAGGCAAATCAAACGATATATCCTCGACAATTTACCATTAAATCTATTGATAAACTTAATCTAATTCGAAGATCTTCAATGGTATGAAAACCGTAAACAGTGTCATTGGAACTTCCTCTTTTACATTTAAAAAAGGACGTCTCCTCCATAAACTCAACAAATCTTACAAAGAATACATCCAAAACTAAACATAAAAAATGTCAAATCGTCACACAAACTCGACATTATTCAACGATGCTAATAACCTCAACGTAATTGCTACAACATACAGCTCGTTCAACGAACACGAAACAGGAGATAAATTTTCCTAGACCGAAACAACCGATTAAAAAGAATCACAAACTGAATCATAGACGACACTAATCAAAATCCTCTTCATACAAGTCAATACCTAGATAAATTCACCAATCCTTGCAAATCCGTAATACAACAATGGATTAAACAACATGCACGCATGAAGGACAAACGAATCATATGCGAAAACTATCGATCAAGTAAAGATATAATCAAACCTGAAACAGCGAAAATAAAAAAATCGAGAAGCCGGATATCTGACTAAGTTTACAAAAAATAAAGTGGAGGTAAAGAATGGTGGAGCTCTTTGACTATATATAGCAGAACTCTTGGCGCATATCTGACTAGGGTTTATTCCTCAGCCGTCAGATATTGAGCGATCTGATCCAACGGTATTAATCTTCCCTTCTTAAAGTAGACTGGACACCGGCCAAATGCGTGGACCGATTTCAATAATTCTCATTTATTTGCTTTAAAATTACATATTCACTTCATTGGAGAGTTTTCGTATGATTTTTAAGTGTATTTTTCTTTTTTTAAAGATGATTTATCCTGAATAATTTAGATTCTTTTTTAAAATATAATATTTTAAAATTAAATTAATTTTAAATTAAAATCTAGTAAATAATTAGCCTTTTTGCCTCTACCAAGAGGAAGATGATGCATATATAAAAGGAAGTAACGAGCAGGGGAAAATATTAAATATAATTAAATTATTACCTGAAAATAATTTTAAATAGTTTTTTTGTTTTAATGACATGGGAATATAATAATGAATGGAAAGTCCAGAAAGGTTTTATTTATTTATTAATTAATTTGTACTATAAGGTTATTATAGTAATGATACACAAATAATTAGCCCAAAAAAGAGTCTGGCAGATACAGAGTGCACTGAAGATGGATATGTTGAGGTTGGGTTTCGGAAAGTAGCGACACCATGAGCACATTGTGGCATTTACCCGCTACCTGCCTACCCGGTCCACTCCCAAAATTCCAATTCATGACGTCATTTTACAAAAAGCATTTACATAGGCAAAAAAAAAAAAAAAAAAAAAAAAAAAAAAAAAAAAAAAAAAAAAAAAAAAAAAAAATTACTCAAATATTGTTTTCGTTTTTTTTTTTTTAAATTATGGTAATTTGAAATATATTTATGGTAATTTTGATTTATAATTTAACACTCCTCTCCCAATGGGATCTCTTGAAAACCACAAGCACTCTCTTCCCCGGGTACGGCCCGACAACAAGCTAATTTAACAAGGCTTGGACACCTCAAAACGAGTATTCAAACCTTTGACCTCTCAGACAAAAGCACATGTTTTATTATCCAATTGAGCTATGATCAAACATAGCCAGTAACCACAAGTAACCACAAATGAACAATGCAAGGTATAATATATAATAAACCTATCGGTACAAAATTCTTTAATATCTTTCACATATTCCAACCAAAGGCAGTCTAAACATAAGAGGCAGAAAACAATGTCACTGAGATTACGGTCAAAATCTATCCATCCAAATTTAAGCATTCTTCTAAGAACATTGCAAGAAGCTTCAAGTGTTTATAGTCTAACACAGCATCAAAAGGAATCTATATGATCGTCAAAATCAAATATGTTCACCAAATCTTCGAGGGAATGGGTAAGAAAGAACTCCTCTGAATAAGTTAAAAGTTTTCCCTACCAATATAATCGCTGTTCTTCATCTTTTTCTTCACAATTCTTTAGCACTGTCCTGCTGTGCTTTTTCTACTGCTTTCTCAGCTTCTTCAAGAACAAAGCTTTTGAGAGATTCTACGTCTCTTGGCCCTGGGTCGTCATAAAATTAAAGCTGCTATATCAGGGTTCATCCGGATCCAAGAATATAATGAAATGAGGCATTTCATTCTGATTTCTAATATTGGTAAACAAAAATCATCTATAGCAGAACCACGAGGTGAATGAACTGACATGTCGATATGAACAAATATATCGTACCTTGCTAATCATCAAATTTTGAAGGCTGGAAATTGGCAACGTTTAATAAGACTTTGAACTAAGCTCAGCATGATTCATTAGACCAATGAGTTTATCTTTTTTAATTGATGTGTGCTTATGTGTGAAGAATGCGCAAAGACGACAAAGCTTCATTAAATAAATTGCCAAAGTAGAAGCAAAATCGGAACACATATAGAACATAGACAATAAGGGTAACAAAAAGGGGAGGAAAAATTCACCTTTATACTTTGCAACTTCTTCCCCTTCATAGAAAAGCTTGAATGTAGGATATGAATGGATATCAACTTTAGAACAGACTGATTTGTGAGAACCACAATCAACTTCTCCGACTTCGATTTCATCCTCGCCTTCCATTGTCTTGCCCATGTCCTCCCATAATGATCCTAAATTCTTGCTGAAATTTGCAATTTAAGTTGCAGGTAATTAGGCAATATGAACTCAATGACCGACAGGATAAAAACCAGGAAACTACGATAAGAAAGAATGCCAACCAATGCTTGCACCAAGGAACGCAGAACTTCACGAACCATGCAGTATCTTTTTCCTTTACCTGAAAAGTACATATTTCTACGATGAGGAATGTACTAAAAAGTTCGGTGAAATCATATCTTAGTCAGAATCCACCATTTCAAATATTGGTTCTGTTATTTTGAATCCTTGATTAATCAATGTTGGATGATATAAGAAGAAAAATGAAAATCCATCAAGGTATAACATATAAACCGAAGGGAAGATAACCAACCATGCATCATCTAGGCCAAAGATCAAAGCTTTAAGCCTAAGATGAAAGCTGATTTAACCAATCTTCAATGAAAAGTTATAATAGACGACACTGTATCAATAACTAGGTGAGAGTTCCATCGGCCTGCAGACTCAAAATGACATGACATCCATAGTTTCCAAGTCAACTCGATTATTCTCAAGAGACGACTATTTTATCCACCGGGATTTGATTGCAAAGGTAATTCAGAATACATTAAATCCTAATTAGGTGGTCGTCATGACATGAACTCATACCCTCTATGAACTTTACTATTAACCATTTATGAGCCTCACCAATGTCACTATATCTGGAAACAACAAACTTAATCTGTCCAATCATAGTCCTGCTTAACAACCTACACTTATCAAATTGGCTCAATCCCCACGAGCAAGTAATTTGATCTCAACTGTTGGCCCCCCGTTTGCCCGAAATCCGACCAAAAACCAAGACCAGAAGTTAGTTTCTACTGCATTTGTCATTGGATGTTCACAATAATATTCAGAATAAAGTTCGACAATTCTGGACAATAGTATCAAATTTTCTTCTTTTTTATTCAAACTGCCGCAATTCGTTCTTGCTGATCCCAAACTGCGACATCCCGGCTGATAGTAGCCATACCAATCCCAGACGAATCGCTCCAATCCAACTAACTCATATAGTAACTCGAATACAAAAACAACTGGATTCAACCGTGCATCATCGATTTTATAGGAACATCAATTAAAATTATAAAAAGAACATGCTGAATCGTCAAACAAGATTCAAAAACCAAGAGAATCATTCCCTCGCAGACAAAATTTTCCACTTAGAGAACACAGAAATGGACCTCAATGAGTAAATTAGGGTTTGAAAACAGTACCTTGTCGGAGAAGGTGTCCGCAGTTAGGGTTATAACTTCAGATTTGCAGAGAGAAGCTGTGTTTAGAAGGATAAGAGAAATTAACAAGAAAGACAAAATTGCAGATGAAATATGGAATTTCATGGTTGAATGTGGTCTCTGGATCTTCTCTATTGCTGTGGATTCAATGGAAGAAAAGATCAGGATTGGTGGCCGGAGTTCGCAATATGCAATTGAAACAACGATCCCGGTCGATCTGGAAAGCGTCGTTGGGGCCCGATGTTGAATACCTTGAAATTTTAATTTATTTTATCATATTTAATTTATGAATTTTTGAAATTTGTTAAATTCACTCATCTAGAGGTGAAGGTAAAATTTAAATTTATTGCTAATAGATCTAATTATTATTATTATTGTTATTATTATTATTTTCTCAGACGTAAGTGGGCCGAAAGCCCAGTGAACTAGATATGGTGACGTGGCACTTTTTGATTGGTTACAGAATTATCTTACAGGAACGTCGAAGCAGAGGATCAAGCTAGAGAAATAAGAACAGAAAGGAAGAACCCTAGAAAACTAAAAAGCAAGCGCACCGTTAACGGACGAATTACAATAAAAGCTCGACGACGGAATTACTCCGATGGCGCAAGATCGGAAGAGGCAAATGCCGAACATATTGATCACTGGAACTCCAGGAACCGGTAAGACAACAACGTCATCTGCTTTAGCAGATGCCGCTCAGCTCCGTCATGTCGCTATCGGAGACCTTGTGAAGGAGAAGAATCTACATGATGGCTGGGATGACGAACTCCAGTGTTATATCATTAACGAAGATCTGGTTAGTTTTTTCTTTTCCTGCTTTCTTGTTCTTTGATTCGTTTTAGTAACTGCTGGTTCATCCTCCTGTTGTTGGCTGAAGATTGATGCTAACCCGAAGGTGTATTAAATTACTCAGGTTTGCGATGAGTTGGAGGATTTGATGGAAGAAGGCGGAATAATTGTGGACCATCACGGCTGTGATTTTTTTCCTGAGCGGTGGTTCGATCGCGTGGTTGTCCTTCAGACTGAAAACTCCATCTTATATGACCGCTTGACGAAGAGGTAACAAAATTAAAGCGTTCATGTGTATGATTATTCTGTTTGTGTATTTTTTTCTGTCCGTTTTGGCTCTCTTCTCAGACGTTTGTGGATTCTGTCTGGTTCAGGGGATACGAAGGAGCCAAGCTTTCGAACAATATTGAATGCGAAATCTTTCAGATATTGCTCGAGGAGGCGAATGAAAGCTATCAGGAGAACATAGTGGTGGCTCTAAGGAGTGACACTGTAGACGATGTAGCTCGAAATGTTGAAACTCTGGCGGATTGGGTTAAGAATTGGCATCCTGTAAGCTAAGCAGATAACAAAAGAAAAGAAGAGAATATTACTTTTGTACCAGTTTTCTTGATTCTAAAGTATCTGGTCAGTTAAGAAAGTTGCCTTTGCTGCTTGATTGAATTAGTTTTTTTCTTAGCCATATCTTTTAGAGCTGTATATCTCCCAATTCCCCATTGTTTGGAATATTAGAACGCTGCATCATTTTGTTTAGGTTTTACCCTGTTTGTATTAATGTTATCATTGAAACAATGGATATTATCGAAGTTTTTTTTAGGATTTTGTTAGTTACAAGGCCTTGCATTCCCATTGAAGCTTTATTCTCAACTTATATTTCTTCTTC